ATTTTCTTAGTTTTTTTCTCGTAAAGTTTGACGTTTTTTCTCTTTTTTTCCTAATTGTTCGCCTCCATTTTAGTTACAACATTCCGAATCGTGGGGAAATCGTTATTTCCAATCATGTGCTGGTCTACGGGGAATCACCAATTTGGGGAACACGTGCTATATGGACGCGGCGCTGCAATGTCTGTTGCATACACCTTTCCTTTGCGACTTTTTTTTGGACTACGAGCGGATAAGTGAGTGGGAATAATTTCGTGGCGCGCGGTAGTTTTCTGCTGGTACAGTGCTCCAAAGCGATTTTGAGCATACAGTGCGACAACGTGTGAAAAAGTGTCCTTTTTCTATTCAGGGAAGTAGTCTCGAAAGATTACTTTTATCATATCACATGTTCATTGCAATGTTCATGCGATTAGTCTCGAATCGATTATTCTTAATTTCGGGAATTCTTCACATTTGCATATCGAATTTACACGCAAAGTTGTCCAAAAAACTAACGCCTTGAATGAAATTTTTTTCCAGTCTAATTTCCCATTACACTGAGTTTAGCAGCAATAGAAATGAAATTTGCAAAACTTTTACGCCTACCTGCTAAGATATGGGCGGGCGAGAATTTCACCAGCGGGAAATTGTCAAATTATTCATCTCACAGACGTTTGGTGAGATTGCTCAAGTCGATCGTGAAAGAATGATAATGGTGGAATTTCGAGGCGCGCGAAATATTCATTTTTCCCCTCAGCACTGAATCTTGAAAACCCGATGGGGAGCCGGGGAGAGGTTCTTCGTGAGTTTTACGACGTATGTTCGCGCATGTGGCCAATAACAGACAAGCCAGCACCTGTTGTTATGGAAAAAGGGGAAAAGCGACGGAAATTTTCCCCATTAAATGTGAGAAAAATGGCAGGTGCAGGGATCGAACCTGGGACCTCGGTCAGGTTGCTACGTTTAAGGCGGCTTTTGGACGATTCGCGCCGGAGTTTGATAATTATTCACAGCAAGATGCGCAGGAGTTTTTGGTGCGTCTTCTGGATGCGCTACATGAAGATACGAATCTGGTGAAGTGGCCTAAACCGTAAGAGTATCTTGTGGCGGCTTAAGATATCATAGAGGGTAGTTTGAGAAAATATCGAGATTTCACTTTTTTTTTGCGGAAAAAAATGAAAATTTCTGGTAATTTCCGGAAAAAATGGTTGACAGGGAAAAGATAGAGCATCTTTTGAATTGCGCACAGCGAAGATTTTTGTTATTTTTCGAAGATACGTACAAGAGCCCGATATCGATGACCAGGCTTTGCTGGATGCTGTGGGTGGCGAGCCGATGGTAGCGATGCAAAGATGGAAACAGTATCTGAAACGGGATAGAAGTTTTTTTGTGGACTTGCTTATGGGACAGATGAAAAGTC